AGGAAGGAAGGAAGGAAAGAAGGAAGGGAGGGAGGGAAGAAGGAAGGAAGGAAGGAAGAAAAAGAAAGAAAGAAAGTAGGTAGGTAGGTAGGTAGGCAGGTGATGGCTGCAGGGTAGTAAAAAGATATGAGATAAATCAAGTAAGGACTAGGATTCGTTCATTTCTCTGTTGCCTCCTTCCTACTCACCAGCCTGGATTCTCCTCCCTCCAGTTACAGCTGCCCTGAACACTCCGGGCCTGCCTGCAAAGCACCTGGTCTATACCGCACCCTGTTAGCAATCTTCGTCTTCTAACACTTCCCATCTCACCCTTAATTCTCCAGTGTATAAGCAGTGCTTGTGGAGAGGAATTCTTTTTGTTTAAACAAAATACCTATAACTCACCTCTTTCTATACAAATTTAATTTTCATTTGTGTTTTGCCTTTTACCACTTTGCTATTGTTAATTTCAAAACTAAATGAGTGCTGTTTAATGATGGGTGCTCCACATCACACAAAAGCAAACAAAGAAACGTAAAAGAATTCACGTATATGCCATAGTACAAGCTGCTTACAACTCTGTCAGATCTGGGTTCAAACCCCAGATCTTCCCGTTATTGTAAGGTGACCCTGGTAAGACAGTTACTCCCCCTAAGCCTTAGTTTCTTATTCTGCAAATACTAACTAAAACTGACCCAAAGGTTAAAAGCATTAACAGATGCAAACATATTTGGTGTAAGGCCAGCAAATGGTGTGCATTCAACAGAAATTAGATCCCCAGGCCCACATAACCATACTTTTTGCACATTACCAAAAGCCAATCAGATTATTCTCTAAAAGTCTACTGCATTTTAAGCGTGCCTAATTTCTACATCATCCAACCATCATACTTCCCAGTTCCAGGCAAACAAACTCTGGCCCCTTTCACTGCTAGAATCCCAAACAGATTCACGGTCTAGCTGCTTTTTATCTACTAAGAGTTGGATAACAAAGGAGATGAATTTTGTACATCTTTTCCCTATATTTCTGCCCTCACCCTAGCAAGAAATCTAAAGGTATAATTCTCCCGTTTACCAAGAAATGAAAAAATGTTTAGTACACAAATTTTGAGATCTTTCCTTGGTAATTAACTCCTGGCAAAACAATATAAATCATCAAGATGTTACGTTTTATCCACAGAAAACTTTTTAGAAAATTAACTACACTATAGTATTGCCACATAAATTATCTGTGTAGATCTCCAGAGAAGTCCAAAGGAGTTGTAACAATATACACACCAGTTACTGAGGCAACTAACATGGCCTAGTTCTTTGCTTAAAATAGGTTAAGAAACAAGATACTCCTTAAAATGACTATAACCCAAAACACTGAGAGTATCAAATCCTAGTGGGGTATGGCCTAACAGAAACTCATTTTTTGAAGGCAGAATCCAAACCACTTTGGAAGACAGTTTTTAACAAAACTAAACAGCTAGTCCATCTTTACAGTATCCCTGAAATGTAGTTATCCAGTCTTTAGCTGCACATTTTTTTGGTGACAAGGTGCTTATTTCCCAACCAGTTAATTTTTTACTTATACTTGACACAATACATATCTGATAAATCAGAAATCAAGAATAGGTCTAGTTGTCAAAAAATTCACTCTTCTAAAGAAGTAAAGTATGATGTATACATTTTTTCTCCTCAACGAATAGTAATACTTTCAGAATCTGAAAAGTAGATAGAGCTTCTAGTCTACCTTTCCTAGACTAGAATATCAAGAAAAGGAGATGAGCAATCTTATATAAATTAACCAGCCAACCAACACTTATAGCTTCTGCAAAGAAGACTTACCGCTTAGGTTTGAAGACAACTTTCTGTCCTCCATCAAGGATCAGTAAGGCTTTCAGCTGCGTCCCTTTATAACCCACATCAGCTTTAATGATTTTCTTGGTGGCCATGGCATGCATGATTGCCCCCAGCTCTGGGGTCTCCTCAGGGTACACTTCCCGGGGCACTACCCACTGGGCTGCAATCTCCCAAGGAGACTGCAAGGTGTGGTCCAGCTTGGGTGCCAGCTCTACTCGCAAGCCAGTCATCATTCGGTGAAAAGCCCTCTGATCCTCCCGGTTGGCTGCTGATGTATCTAAGTTGTCAATCAGGAAAACTTTGGTGAAGATAAAGATGACAAGGAGTATTGCTAACAGCACAACTCGCTGCTTTAGCTTCATGTTGACTTTTTCTTCCCCCCTGCCCCGATCTCTTGCTCATTTATCAAGGAGAGCAGGTGGTGATGGTTAGCAAGGAGATTCCATGATTATACACATTGTTCCATTTCTTCACTAAAGCGCCTCCGCAACTCCTGTGAGCCCAAGGACAAAGCAAAATTTAATGGAGAATTCTGTCCTTCTACTGTAAATATTCTGTAAGTTTCTAGGATGTTACTTACCCTTTTAACCTTGCTAATCCTGAGTTTAATAAGATGTAGTAATTTAAAATAAATTAGCCTTGGGAAAGAACTAATAAGAACTGAGTACACTGCAAATTTTAACACAAAATCCCCATTTTAACTGGCATGCAGAGCCATGTAAGTGCCATTTGACTGGCTACGCCTGCATAATAACTATCAAAACAATGACAAAACAACAACAAAGTAGAACATTCAGATACATTTCCTAAACTTTCATTTTTCCTTTCAAAATCTATTAAGAGACTTCTGAATATCCAAAATCACTAGTATTTGGTAAATTTCCAGTTCTTATCTTCTCCAAATAAAAGTTTTGTGATACCCTGTAAGACAAGAACTCCTAAAAATGCCAAAGAGGGTGCAGTAGAGAGTAACAAGTCCTCCAAATCCAAATACTCACCAATCCTGGGTGGGTCATAGCTGCTGCTTATATATTTAAATATAATATTCAGACACCACGTATCTCAGTCAGTCCTTCACTAATAATTTCTCAAAATTAAAATGCCTCTACAATACGGATAATAATCCCAGATAAATTAATAAAAGAAAAACATCTGGCTATCAGTAGGATATGATCATTAAATTAGTGACACTTGGAATTATAGCAACACTACTAAGTCTAGAATGGTTAGGCACATTAACAAGGATACTAATGCCACAAACCTAAAGAAGTGCTGCTTCTAGTATGGGCTGACCATACTTTGGGCAATTCTCAAGCTAGAAAATTCCAAATACAAGATTTTTGCAAAGGTGTAAAGAATATACAATTCAGTTTCATTTGCATGCTGAGAGGTTGCCTTCCACTCTACAAGGCCATTTAAAAAACATGAACAAGCTTGTTCTGCTGTATCCCTACAAACAGCATAGCGCTGGGGCAAGAAAAAGATGACAAGAACATAACTGTGTTGTTTTGCTCTCCAATTCATTTAACAACTCAAACCATTAATCTAAGAAATAAAACCAATACAAAGAGCAAACACTGGGGCGGGAATATTCTCCAACTAAACTTGAGACTGCTACCCCATTAACAGCTGGAAACAATGTGAGAGCAAAAATATGTCCTAAGGGCAATACCTTAGTAAAGCAGCTGATGTGAAGTTTATTCTCGGTGATTAACCACTCCTTTCCTGTTATGAAGGAAGCAAAAAATGAGAGTTAAATTCAAATTCCAATTATCCTCAGCCACCTGCTTTGTTTCTTCATTGTCTGCCAGGAAGTACCTAACACTACTGGCTGAAACAAAAGCAATTCAATTGTGATGAAATGCAGTTGTGATGGTATCAAATCTGGTGTGGAACTCTAAGTAGAGTTCTCTGTGATTAATAATAGCAGTGCTACAACAGCAGATTTTAAATATTTTTGCTAGTTCTAACATGGCCTAAATGACACAACTTTTTCAATTACAGTAGCACCTTGTTCATGAACACTTCTGTTTGCAAACAAATTCGTTTGCAAACAGAAAGCATTTGGGAAAATTTTGTTGTTGTTTGCAAACTGCATCAGGTGACAAATACAACGATAGCTATCTCCCACACAAACACAAATGTGACCATTTTTTCCAAAATCGTAGAACAAGTATCACTGTATTTGCTCAACAATTCATATCTCAAGCTGCAATGATAAAAGGCAACATGGAAATCCAAATGCATCAGCAATGGCTTCCACAGGACCTCCCAATTCCTATACCCACAGTGGAAGAGTTCTGGAACAAAGGGGTCAGGCATCCCAACATCCTCCAGGATGAAAGTCTAGTTTACCTATAATCTTCTAATGGTGTTGATTTCACGCAGAATAAACAAAATCTACCCTCGCACTATATAGACATATACCCAAACGTACAGCATACAGGTTAGGGCTGTGTTTGTTTTGTTTGTGGTGCTAGAGATTAAACCCAAGGCCTTGCGCGTGCTACGCAAACACTCTACCACTGAGCTATGCCCTCAGCCCTGACTTTTTCTTTCATTCTTTTTTAAATTTTATTTTTATTTTTGTTTTTTAATTCTTTTTTTAAACCACCAAATGCAATAGAAAGTTCTAGCAGGGGCTGGGGATTTAGCTCAGCGGCAAAGTGCCTGCCTGGCAAGCGCAAGGTCGTGAGTTCGGTTCCCGGTACCAGAGAAAAACCATAAAAAAAAGAAAGTTCTAGCAGCTCTAAAATTCAGATAAGATAAATGGCCCAACTCTGCTATCCAATTTTGAGTGCTTTTATTGAAATCTCTTTAGAATAGGCCTCACGAGAACACACTAATCAATTCAGGGCTGCAAATAACTCATCCACTCAGATAGAAATTTTTATTAAGAGAACTGAAGAATTCAATTGTTGTCTTATTTCACTATTTACCTCTAAAGAGTCAAAGTGAGGGCAGATTTTAAAAAGAGGCTAAGTAAGTTTCCACATTTATAATCAATAAGTCACCACATCCTAGTAGAATAAGTAAGATCGTGATGTGACCTTGCTCTGTACCACTACGTTCCTTCTCCACAAGACACCAACATACAGCAGTGTTCTTCACCTCCTACCAGGCATGGAAAGAACTGACTTCTGGGCCATCAGGCTCTCGATACAGCCTGCAGTTAAAACAGTCCAAATAATTTTTCTAACCATTTAACCACCTCTGATTCTACAAATTCCTTAGCCAGGCATTAAAATCCTACCCTAAATGGCTTTAAGCCAGGAATCTTGTTCTTCTTCTCACCTTCAACCAAATGGACATGGTCCGGTCCTCCCTGCAATGGTACTGCCCTTTGCTTTGTCATTCTTCACTCCTGAACATCCACAAAAGTCCTCTTCCTCTTACCTATTCTTCCTGTCTCCTGTGTAAAGCCTAATTCTTCTTTGAAGATCCATCTCCAAGATTGTTTCTGGGGTCTCTTATACTCTGTGGTAATTTTTCTGTCCTTTCCATTAGTATTTAATTAAATTCTACCTTGTATACAGTTTTTAATTTCCTTTTCTGAGTCTTGCCTCCTTTGAATGATCCATTTTGGTCCTTTATGTTTGAGAGAGGGTACTCATGATAGGGCTTCCAGTCTATATTACCATCACTTTTCATTTGAGACAAACAGCATACCTATACTCTGGAAGCCGGATTTTTAAAGTTGATCTCCCAATAATGGATACTAAGGAAACAAAAGCAAGATCACTAGGTCTATTTCAAATTACTTACGAAGGTACCGGAGAAAACCAAAAAAAAAAAAAACAAAAAAAACAAATTACTTACGAAAACCTTTCTAGTATTCCCAGAGGAGTGTGCCTGCTATATTTCATGTCCTCACCTCCTCCTATAAATGCTTCAGTTTGACACTGTCCAGTTATATTATGATCATTTATTTTAATGTTCCTGTTATGTGCAACCAAGCCTCCTTCAAAGAACAAGTAGACCCAAGATGATAGTTTAATTCAAAAAACGTTAAAAATAGGGGGGCTGATATAAAAATAGGGGCACACTGCTTGGTACCAGAAAAACAAAACAAAACAAAACATTAAAAATAAAAAAGGCATTGCAAATGGTATGTGTGTAGATAGTCTTCACAGTGAAAACTGGCATAAACTCTCAGATGGAGTTCTGGAAGTAAACCTTTACAAGGAATTCTCCTACCTGGTTTCACACCCAACTCCATCAGCCACATGGGGCTTGCTACATAGGCTCATTTATTTTAATTCCTCACCCACTGATACCATCTTACATGTGCAGTAAGTTTTATAAGAATAAACTTATGATTGTAAAAAGTCTCTGAAGAAGAGATAAGTAGATTCCACTGGAAACAATGAGATTTTAAAATAAAGTCCTCTGCTCAAGAGTCTGATAATGGAGGAATATATACAGAAAAACATGCCAGTGCAGAGGTCTGTAAGTTGTATGATCCATGTAGCTGCTACAGAACATCTTGCCCACCACTCAGTAATATACTGGAGATTCTATAAGCCACTAGTGAGGTTCCAAGCTTTATCTGTAGCAGTGATCCTTTGAATTGCACTCTTATTTAAGTTGATAACTTCACACTACTACTTCTGAGGTTACAAAGAAGAAACCTCAACCTTTGTTCAAAGCAAATAAAGTGAAAGTTTCAGGATACATAAAAGCTTCACTTTTTAGGGTTGCAAATTAAATGGTCAATCAGGTTATTACCATGTATGTGGGATGCTTTCTGACTGTAAAGTACCACAAGGCAAACAAACATTCAGGTACAAACATCTCATGAATAGGACAAGTAACTGATTTGCTGAAAAGTGGTAAAATTTATTTAGTAACTAGTATATATTTATGTATATAATCTCCCTACCCTACAACCTGAGCAGAACTACCATGATCCTTTAACGAACTTCTTTGGTAATTGTTGGCTTTGGCAAAACTCTGCAGGTTTGTCCAGGGTAAGAAGAGATATACAAAGGCAGACACTAACAATTCCTCTCACCAAAGGGTGGAGTCTACTCCTCCTCCCCCTGAATCTGGGCTGGCTTTGTAACCTGCTTTGACCAACAGACTGCTGTGTAAGTGACTATGGGCCAGTTCTGAGCCTAGGCCTTGAAAGACCTGGCAGATTCCACTTTCACTCTTTTCGGGTTCAGCCACCATATAAAGCTGCTTGGGCTAGACTACTGAAGCCCTTTGCTATTCTGGCCACCTAGCTGAAGGGCCAGACAAGAGATTGAAGCTATCAAGCACATTCTAGTCTTAGCTGTATTCCCAAAGAAAAGAGCCACACACAGCACTCTCGCTTGTAGGCAAGAACCGACCAGCTGAAACCAGCTGACCCACATAAGAAAAAACAAATCACTGTTTTAAGCTATTATATTTTGGGGTAGTTGTACCACACTCTCACACCTATTCTGCTTCACCAACTCTTTTGAGGATGTTAAATTTATGAAGGGAGAAGGTATAGGAAAATAAATTACGTGACTAAAAATTCTCAGCCAAGCAATGCAGTATATGCCTGTACTACCAGCACTCAGAAGACTGAGGCAGGAGGATCACGAGTTTGAGGTCAGTGCGGGCTACAAAGCAAGCTGAAGACCAGCCTACACTACATACTGAGACCAACTCTCCTTGCCAGAAAAACCCTAAAGATGAGAAAAATAGTTAACTATTAAATGTAAAGATTAGATTGACAAATTGTTAGGTTGTATTTGTAAGTTGTTATTAATGACTTCTATGAATCTCTGTACTCATTATAAACCTTATCTCCCATTTGTTTCTTTCCTCCCATCACTGTAGATGTTTTGAAAAATAGATAACCCTAGAGACTTCTACTAAAATCCACTAGTGTACTTTAGACCCTTACATAGGCCCATGTAAAGCAATCAAAGCAAACCTCACATGTTCAGCAACGACACACGTCTGGTTTATAATGCCTAACATTTATACAGTACTTCAGCCAAAGCATAAAAAAACCAAAACTCACAACCCTTTAGTAAAAAATAAGACAATGTCTTTCACGGCAGTCTTCAATTTAGAAAACTAGCTGTGTATTTTAAAGATAACAACTTTGCATATCCTAAAGCTTGTAAAATAAGCCTTGAGAGTACCTTAAAGTTGCAAGTGCCTTTCAGGCCCGGCCCCCAGCCGCGCAGGTGCCTGGAAAGGCAGGCAGCAGGAGCCCGGGAAGTGGCGTGGAGATGTGCACTGGCCCTTAGGCCAGCCACCGCTGCGTGGTCAAGAACCACTTCTACAGAGAAGCACCGACACAACAGGCCCGCCCAGAGACATGCATGAACCATCCTGACATGGAGAAACCTCTGGGAAAACATGCCACATGGTGGGTCGCTCTTGGCCCTGCCCTTGAGAGCCAGAAAGGTCCGGAGTCAGCAGAGGAGCAGCTGCTGAAAGGGACTCGGAGAACACGAGAGTACCGATGCCCGAGGACTCAGAGGTCGAGCTGACTGGGGACTGAGAGCCATTCGGGAGCTGGAAACCAGGAGCACCTCGTGCAATACCTGGGGAGACCCCCTGGAGGCCATTCTTCCCCTAACTATACAGGCTGCACTGGAGGAGCGAGTGGAACTCCGGAGAGGTCTGAACCGAGACTTCATGGATTACATGGGTGCCCAATATTCAGATTCTGTAGAACCGCCTTCATGGAGAAGGATGTGTCTAGGTTACCTGCCTGGGACACTTTGCACCTGATG